AAATCATCAAATCATAAGACATTAAACAGAAATCAAAAGCTAAGAAACGAATAATTATTGGAGAATTCAGGAAGTCTTGAGTGAAAACATTAAATTGTTTGCAAATCAGTTCAATAGCTTATAGCTGTTGAGATAAAAGGCTAACTGTTTTTCTAAACATTATTCAAAAAACAGTTATTAAGTGATGAATTATTTGAATTTACTTTATTTCCAAACACTTTCAGTGATATAAGTGTTTATTTAAGAAATATTAGAATAATAACACTTTAATTCCTATTATGATCTCTATTGAGATAATTAAATATTTATAAGATTTAATTGGACTTAAATTTGTGCTTAATTTTAAATAAAAATTAAAAAATAAAAGTAAAACTTAAAAACTAAAAGTGATTTCTATTAGATTAAAAAGTTAATTAAGAGTAAAGTAAAAGTATTTATAAAAATAAAATTAAAAATATTAAATTTATAACAAATTTAATACATTATAAATATTACCAATTTCAGATTAAAAAACAATAAAAAATCAATATTAAGATTAATTTATAAAGACTAAAATATAATTTCACTTTTCTGTTAACTATATATTAATTAACTATTTATCAAATCTTTGACAAATCTTTAAACTACTTGTAAGAAATCCAATTAAGAAATATATAAAACTATTAAAACAAGCACAAAATTATATAATTATGTCTTGTTCCTATAATTATTAATATGGGTCATATATCTATATTCAAATTGCATTCATTAAGTGTCGAAATATTAATGTTTTTAATCCGATATCAGGGAAGCAAAAGCTTTTAGTAGTCGTGAGACTTAATAATTAGACTAATTTTCACCGATTTTAAAATATATTTACTAATTATAACACAGTTTTCGCAACAAATATTCACTAAATTTGATACAAAATGATAACTTTTGGAAAGAGATTACACGAATGTAAAAACATTGAATATATCAATCATTATAATGCAAATGATTGCTTATATTATAATAATTAAATATTATATAATAGATTAACCGTAATATTTTAGTGGTAAAGTGGGAAAACACTTACTTTGAACATAATGTATGAAATAGTGGTTTGTATTATAGGAATGGGTTTTTGGAAACACAATAAGTATAGAGAATAACAGATAGAATGAGTGGTCGTTAGAAGTAATGCAGAGTTGAATAACTTTCACTTAACACAAGTCTCTCCTTATATACGGATCGGCCGTCAAGTCGTGAATCTATTGGATGTCAGGTATAGTCAGGTATTGAATGAACGTATAGTCAAAGAGTTTGAGACCTGAAATGGGAACACAAACACCACAACAAGATTTGACTTTATTTTCTACTCAACGCTAACTGTTATACAGCTTTTGACAGTGGATTCAATGTAACACTTCTTAACGCAAATATTATATACCATTCAAAACACTATTATATCGATTATAATCACATGGAATTGACTTTAGGTTTAGTTTTTAAGTTTCCAATAGTTTTTTAGTCTTCATATTATTTAAACACTATATTTGTATTCATCTCAAAACCAATGGCCTATTAATACCCAAACATTTTGACTTTAAATTAGAGCACAAGTCCGACACCAAGAAAATGAGAGCATCTCTATTATGACCACTACTACTGTCCCAAACAAATGCTATTTTAGGATATTATGAAGTACTTTGAATTACAATTTTTGCAAACACGAGCACCTGTTAGACGACTCGCCACTCATCCCCTAATCTTCGAAAATCAGATATATTTATATCGGAAATATTCATTAAGTTTTCTATAAGATGTAAAAGTATAGCATTGAATACATAAGTGAGATGTATATGAAAGTCAACGCACTTTTTACGGGTCTATGAGATGAACATTTTATGTTTTGTTTTTTAATTAAAACGGAGGGAAAATCATAACAACGCTTATTATTAAATAAATGTTTGGCTCTGAAAAAATCATAATCCAAACCATTTTCTACTACTTATTGGTGTAAATATTTCACTTGTTTAGTAAATAAACAAAATATTTAGTGTATAAACTGTAAAAAGCGAAGCAATGTGTCTGCAAAAAGAGAGGGAAAGTATTAAATACAGTGTTAAGTAAAGGATTGAATTTCATTATCCCTTTGGAAATAAATTTATAAGTTTTAAAATTGCGTTCACTTTAGGAATTAGTAGCAGAAATCGAGTGCCAATCCCTTCATTAGTACACCGTTTGACACAATTCTTCAAATAATAATCTTTTGCTTAAGAATTGTGTTTTATTATTGCAAATGTAAACAACAGTTAGTTATTATAAAACCAAATAAACAGTTATTATAACGCGAAATATATATCGGATTTTGTATTTGAAAAGTTTTAATCAAAGAATTATACGTATAGTTACACTGTATTTATAATTATAGTTATTTGGTTAATATAAAGCAAATAAATTAATAAATTAAAATAAATTTTATTTCATATAAATTATGACAAAACCTTTTCAAAGCAGGGAATGGCAAACCCATAGCTATTAATCAATTATTAAGTGATTTATAATTATTTTGAAACAATCAATAACTGATATCTAGACATAACTGAATAAAATTATATTTATTGTGTCGCTCTCCTTGAACCAAAAATTCCCATATTAACTAGATCATATTTTAGTGAAATTGTTTATAACATTTGCCAATATTACAGTTATGTTTTATTAACAATATTACTTAATTAATAATTGAATTTATTAATAACACGTTTAATATAAGTAAGTTTTTGTTGTGTATATTCTGACATTAATCATTTTACAAAATAGTTTATTTCGTTTACAAATTCACTTTCTTATTGTGTATTTATTAAATTCAAAATCAATATTTATATAAATCTCAGCAAATAATAATACGAGCAGTAAATCACTCAATAGTAGTAATTGACGTAAAAAACAATTACCGGTAAAAAAGATGATTAAATGAGCACAAAATCACTGATAAAAATATTAATAAAATATTCATGAATTGGTTTTTTGTGCAAAAAAAGATGGATTTCAAAGATACCCGAAATTATATACCAAAGAGTATTCCCTGTTTCATGAAAATTATATTTTAGAAATTTTAATCAGAATTTTAATTCAGGTTAAAAAGTGATAGAGGTTTTTGAGAGTGAGAGAGAGAAAAAATCTAATCATTTATAGCTAAAAGCTATCATTTTTTTATTTGATTTTATAATTGAAGAATATTTGATACATTGATTTTTGCTTTAGTGCCACAGTTTCCATGCGTTACATAAAAAAGCACAGTTTAACTACAGTTCCGTAGTTTTTTCCGGAAACTATCTTTTATTTACACGCTTTTTAAAACAAAAAACATATTGAAATTTAGAGTCATTGAAGAGAAAAACAAATAAAAACCAAATATTAAGACCCCTTTAGGGGCCGAGAGTTTGTCGGATAAAAAAATTGGACTCTTTTTCCCATATTTATACATTTAATGATAGGATATTTTATTACCGTTTTATCGTTTGGGTCGTTTATAAACTTAATGAAATAATTTATATAATTATTATCGTGCACAATTATTAATTTTCTTGTTTTATATATTTCATATTTATTGATGTTTGATTGAGGCATGATGATAATATTTAGAATTTTACGTGGTAATTTTTGGCTACATTTGGTATATTGTATTATGCTATGGCCTATTAGTAAAGTACATGTATTAATGCAAAATAATGTGTTTAAAACCAAAACAATTACAATTACCAGTACTGACCGGTAGTGACTGTATGTATAATATAAGGACCGTAAGAAATCAGAAATATTGATATTATTATTTAAATTTCTCTTTGAAAAATTACTTTAATGTCCAAATAAAATACTTCAATTGTTTAATAAATCTCAATCCAAATTCTGGTCAAAATTGTCTCAAAATCATTGGCATTTATTTGTAAATATCAACAGAATTTGACTCTCATTTTATTAGGAATACTTTATGGGCTTGTTTTTGAAGAGACCTAATATTGAGATCAATGTTACAGTCCGGTCATATTATTTCTCTCTCTCTCTCTCTCTCTCTCTTTCTTTCTTTCTTTCTTTCTCTCTCTTTCTCTCCTGAGCAATGATTTGAGTATATTATTGAAAAGGCATCCAAAACATGATTACCTGACTTATATTGAGTGTTTTCCTGTGTTGTTGTTATTATTATTGAGAAGTGGTTTAATAAAACCTACTGTCCTGTCATCACATGTTAAGAATGATTGTTGATTCAAATGATAATCAAATCATACAAATACAGGAATACAGAGTACATGTGACCAAATAAACTAATTATTTTTCCCGATTATTTACCATTATTTTAGCACAGATTACAAACAATCATAATTGGCTTATATGGTATGCCATACCGTATGGCTAATTACAGTGTAATTCACTTCTTATGGAGATTATTAACAATATTAAACTAAATTCTGTGTTTGCATTCAAAACATTCAACTTGTTTACTATGATAGTTTTGTTATGGTAGTACAATTTATTTTACAAAGTAATGGACAAATAGTTTTGTTTAAAAGTAAGGGGAAAACATTGTGGACATAAACATAAGTTATTTGTTAAATTAGACGAAATTAAGAATAATTTAATCTGCTTTTTACAAAAATCTTCACATAATGTATTAAGGGATTTAAATGTTGAAATTGTTTAAATGTATTTAAATATGAAAGTAGATAATAAAAAATTACATATAAATTACAAAGTATATTTATGTAATAACTTATAAACCATAATTAATAACTTAAAGCGATTTTCTACTTTAACTTATTGTAATAAGACTACAGTACACTCAAAACTTATTCTATGCTAACTTTCTTTTAAATGACGTCAATTTTAATCAAAATCATTGTTTGAAATTAATTAAAAACATATCAAATAAGTTAAATGTTTAATGAATTATAATTTTGTTTTCAAATGTAATTTCTAATTCTCGTACATATTTAGTAAAATTTTAAATAATGGAGAAAATGTTGAATTAATAAGTGTTTAAATGACTTCACAATCTAAACCAACGATGTCTTCGTACTTAATGTTAAGAGTATTGTCGGTATGGTTTCGACTTAGTTTAAATTTAATGGTTTGTCCCGGTTTTAGATCATCCAATGTGTCAGTCAATTGCTTTGATGTCAATAACAAAACGCCGTTCACATGCGTTATATAGTCATTGGGTAACAGTTTTCTAAAGATATAAAATAATTTCATTAATTATAACAATTAATACAAAACATGTGATAAATTAGTCAATAATGAGAGAAACAATTGAATATTAATACAAACCCCGACGTCTCGAAGTGATTATTTCGTGTGAATTTAATAACTTTGAAACCATTGTTCGCCTCCTTTTGCAACACAACTCCCAATGCTTTTCGGTTTTTACACGAATATCTATTTTCTCGTTCTTT